AAATATACGACCTTATGACAATTAATTTCTTATCATTATGCGATCGACTGATGAAATTTCAGATATCACTTTCAACTATTTCAATGTTCCATTCAAATCACTTTGTCGGTTTGTTTCGCAATGTCTCCCTCTAATTTAGGTGAGAATACGACCACCCAGAGCGAAATATCTCAACCTGATAAAACGACTGACAAGGCAGAAAATCTTATTCGTATGTTTTCCCAACTGATAATTTCTCTCTCTCCCTCATTTGCAAATTATGTATCTTGCTTGTTTGCTTTAGTCGTTTCGCACATTCACTTACCAACGATTGATGATAGTGAGTTTGCTGGCAATTGCACCACATCCGTCAGTTGTCTTACATGGCAGCCATCAATCCTTATTTCTATCAACCTGTTGACCATGTTCGTTGAGTATGCTTGCTGAGAGTCGCTGAAGTATGTGACAATGATGTTGCTTGTGGAAACAATGGAAAAAGTGTGATTGAAACGTATCGGTCAGTCAAATAAACTCCTCTGAACTCCTCAAACGACATGTGAATCACCTACTTCACCCCGAAATTTCTTTTACCTAAAGTGACAATTTAATTATACTGCATATTTGTCTGAGTGAGAACAAATAAACATGACGATAGCCGTGTATTTTAGATTGGTTTGAAGTTTATTTACATAGATTTATCACTTCAGTTTTTCTAATCACAATTCATATCCAGTCCTCGTTGATAAATACTACATAATTGTTTACCAAAATATAGGTCACTGTATTTATGCTTCGTTTCCATCTGGTAAAATGTGAAATGTGTCGCTCACTGCATAATCGTTATTATCCAATTCAAATGTTGTATAATGATCACGTGTGAGTAATGACATCACTTGCAGTCCTTTATTATCATGTCACATTATTCACCATTACTCTTTGTTATTCCTAACATTCCGTTTGTTATGGCAAATTATTGTGGTGTCCTATCGCACTGAATTTGTTTACGTTATAAATAAATCATTCAGTACAACTTACATTATTGCAGGTTCCACAAATACTATACCCCAACATTGTTTATCTAGATTGCGTAAATGTTAAGAATACCTCTCAGTATCTGTTGAAAATAGCTTTTCAGGTTTGATCGTGGAAACAAGTGAATGTGTTGAGTTGGCTTCCAGAGAACTCTAACAGAGCCTCCAGAGGCTCATAAAGAGCCCCAACCAATCAGTGATTAATTAGAAGTTGTGTGAAGTTATGTTACTAAAATAACGAGATCCTGATTGGCTGATTAACACACTGCTACTATGTTAAGGAGTATTCTAGAACTTTCGGTAAAACTCAAGGTCTCTTAAATTACTAAAAAATCCCTGTATTTTCTGTACATAAATGAACCCTGTAGTAAAGTGCTTCCCACGTACTTTGTGCCTTTTCTCTGGTCTTCAAGTCGCTGAGTAGTTCTAGCTCGGGGGTACGGAACTAGCTTAGGGAAGCGAATATAGCGTTCATAATCGGCCAGACGTAACAGAATGATTATTGGATATCGTAATGTCCCTAACATCATTTGATACTAGTAGCTATTGGGGGATTCACCCTGGTCAAACCGTCAGTCTCTGTGAAAGCGATGTGTGTGGGAAAACAATCGACACACAGAACACAACCTATTGGATTTGTACCAAACCGAAATAACATAAACATAGAGCTCAGTAGAAATACCTTACACATGTGATAACATCTACAGCGTGGAACCAGCACACCAACCACAAATACACTTAGGCATAACCAGTAAGAATACGAGAAACCTCCGAATCAGAATCAGGTTCACTCTAAAATCCAGATATACCGACTCTCTTAATTCATAACGACGAGACCACGTGGCGTCAGTTTTCAACATACAGACGGAATAGCCTCTTTAAGACGTTAATCGATTAACTTTTCAAATAAAATCTGTTAACAATTTCCAGTATTAGTGACTTGTTCTCAGCAAATTATCCGCTTACTGAGGCTATTCGCTGAATCACTAAGAACTGATTGTAGCACAACGGTACCCTGTTTTCCGATTAAAGTCACGATTTTATCAAATATCGAGTACGATGAGCAGCTAAAATATTTCTGTAGAGAATTAACAAACCCATTATGATTATTATAATACTTATTATTATTATTCTTATTCTACTTATTATTATTAATGACAAAGAATGTTTATAATGACTGCAGTGTTAATTAAACTAAACACTTAAAATAGTATACAGATGAATATGAAAGAAAAACTGACAATATCATTAATATTTTTGATTGAGATTATGAACCGATTGATGTTAGACTACTATTGGATACTTGGAAGTACTGGACGGCCGTTTCGTCCTATCGCGTGACTCCTCAGCAGTACGTATCCACGATCCCACTAATGGGATCTCAATCAAACACATTATAGTCTCCACAATCCACAATCAGTATGCTTGTGATTTGCCTTTATGCGTATTTCTTTTAGAGTTTCGGTCTCCGATGATAACACGTGGCATAAATTAAGCTTGTATGATAGACACTCATATATTACTTTGTGTGCATGAACTTCCTTCAACTGAAATGCATTGACAATTGATAGGTGCGAAGTTCACTATTTATATGGCAATTCACATAGATGTACCCATTATATTGGTTCCAAAACCCTTCAAATCACTATTTAGTATGAAAATGCCTTTGTAATATCCAATTCCGTATTGTTGGCTTTGTCCATGTTCACCATTAATTTAGATTACAGTGGATAGTTTTACTAAATTCTATCAAATTATGATGAAACGTGTGTTATCGTTGAGCAATTACTTTTCACCTAAAATTCCTCAGTGTTGATCCATCGTAAGTCTCTACTAAAATATTTGCAATTTAGTTTTAAGCGAACAAGTGATAGAAAATATTTCAACGTATTTCCATACAGTGGTTGACTCTGACACGCATAATCTTCTTCTAACTTGTTACTATGCTTATCATTCAGATGGTCTAATTCATAATGAGTATGAGCCTGTAATCTCTTAAAATAAAACAATGGTATTTACTAATTAGAATAGTTGTATGTTTTCATCTCCCGGTCACATTCCTATTACAAATATCACCTAAATAATTGTGTGCAAGTACTTAAATAGAAGACTGATTGTATGTAGTTTTATTGATCATAAAATGAATTGATGAATGCCTAATAGTAACCATGTTTAAATTATGAGTCGTGACAATTCACGTCCTCTTTCTATACTTGATTTACTGTGCAAGTGAATTACACAATCTATTCCTTAGAAATAAAAATTCGATTTTATCACTATTTGACATACGACAAGTAACTTATCAGGAATAATAACCAAACAAACAAGACTTACTTACTTACTTACTTACCAACTTACACCTGTTACCGCTCGTGAAGAGGGAAAAGGTCGCACACCAGAATTCTCCAAAGAACTCTGCCCTTAACAATCCTTTCCAGTATTTTACAATTCCTATTCATTATTCTGATATCTACTTCCGATTCCCGACCCAATGTGTTCTTTGATCTTCCTCTTTCACGTCTTCGGTTCAGCGAGAAATTTATTTTACCCAATAAAATAATTATGGTTTATACGACTGATTGGCTTCGATCTGACAATCATTGATAACCGAAGAGAAATGAGAATATACATTTCATCTTTGCATGGTGAAATTGTCGACAATATAACTGTTGAAATCTGGTGAAACGCGGTGACAGCAATCGCGTTTCTATACTAGCGAATTCATTTGGAGGCATGTAGTACTGAATATCATACACAGGAAACTTCGATGCTGTGATGTGCGGTCAAACACGAAAGTCAATCTACATATCACGACGATAAAAGGAAGCTCACGTTGAATATTGGAGGTTTGAATTGCAGTCAAAGTAATGTAAGATCAAAACTTTGCTATAAAGGTTGTTATAAAGGTTGTTTTGACCTTTATACTATTACTGCACGATTTGCCATTACTGAGTTATTCCTAGTCCATCAATTATTGTTCCTCCTATTCACAGCCACTTTTAGCTGAATCCTGTACAAATGATATTTTCTATTTTATTGGTACGATGTGTTCCGTCTGTTTGGTATATAAACCCAGTATGTTTGAGAATAATGATTCATATTACAGTGGCTGTTACTCTTATTGGTGTTCTGGACTCAACTGTCTGGGCTAGGCAGAAAGCAGAACTGATGAGTTCTCAAGACTGTTTATACGGCTATCGTGCGTCACTGTTCCAATTGATAATTCACTCCTCCCTAATTGGCGGTCTTATCACGTTGACACATTGACAAGACAGAGATGCTGGTGAATGTTACACATCCATTTGTTGTTTTATGCTGATATATTGGTGCAGAAATCTTCACATTCATTACTATTAACTGTACCATGAAAATAGAAACACATATGGATTAGGAATTTCGCTTGTACTATGAATGAACTAAGCGTATTTCAAGGTGAGACTGAATGAATCGTATTTTGACAACTTTAATTTCCAACATCCACAAACCTTCATTTGGTATGAAGCTCTAATGTCACATTCTTATTCAACACTGTTGAGGATAACGTAACCGGAAACTGAATAGGCGCATACACAAGTTAACAGGGAAAGTGTGAGCAGGATGAAGTGAAGTTGAACGGTGTGATAAATGTTTTATTTCATGTCCTCAAATCACACTGCTGAGTAAAAATAGAAGAGATGATGAAAAGATGAGAAATAATGTGATGGATTTATCAAAGACTGAATGAATATTTGTTTGGACTCTACCTCGTTACACGTGATAGCTACTTTTAATATTTTTTCTAATTAAAGTCTCATTCATATTGATTTTGACCTTGGCATATTTTAAAAAATGCGGCATCGGCCGATTGGATGATTTCTATCATTTCACTTGCCAATCACATACGTTTCCAATGTAATTAAAATGACACGATATGATTGTATTTAAATAGACATCAGGAAGTAAACTATCTAATTGATTGCAGAAAACGTTGGTGAATTACGGAGTACAAATATGTTTAGATCACAAGTAGCAGTTGTTCAGTTTCTCTTCTTTTTCCTGATCTGGAATGCAGGTGAGGTGAAAACTTTTTATATAGGCGTTCTCATATTTGTTTTTATTCACATGAAGATGAACTTGACGTAAACAGTCACTCAGTAGTTGTGACATTAGTCACTATACAGTGGTTAATCATTTTAAATATTTTGACTGACCACGAAATCGCCAGTCATTAATGTGCGTTGGCGAGCACTCGTCATCTCGTGAGAGATGTTGACATGTATTCGATTCCTACGCACAGCATCAGTTCTCTTATGATCACAATGGACGTCACCGATAGGAATCAATCAGCATGGGATCATGCTAAGTTCTGCTTCCTCATGACCAATTCCTAACTACTTACGGGCAGTCTAATAAGTCGAACGCCTTGATAGTCTACAGGCTCCAATGAAGCCTTGCTCTAGTCATTGGTTGATAAATAAGAAATCATTGTTCATGTATAACAAGCATTTTGAAATATGCTAACATGACGATATTCAAAAGCAATATCCTCTTAAGAAAACTGCATTACAATTACATTGTGGCTGCAGCATAATTTATAAAACTTTCCTGTTTGTTATTCTTAATGAAGAACCATGAAGGAAGCATTCGTTCAATACTGTTCTTACCTAGTATCAATATGAACAACTGAATGTTTCAATCAGTATCCATTGGTTGATATAATTACTGGTAGAATGTCCTGATTGAACACATAGTGGAACATTTGACTTCACTTCGTATTTGTAGAAATAAAGACAGGCTTTGAATATGAAAATTCGGTGAATTTTCCATGTGCAGTTAACATGTAGGCAGGTACTCAGACTGCGCGTCTACTTACAAAGATCAGTGTCAATTCAGATCTGTATACGTACAACGAAAACACGGAGCTCCCATCAACCAATATTAGGCTAAACAAATTGAAGATTGCACATAGTATAAACTCTCATTTATGAAGAGGTGATGACTATACAAATTGAATGGATGTCAATAAATCAATGTGATGATTTGTCGAGCTCCATTCTGTCAAATAAAATATCGCCTCGTTCGTATGAGTGAGCGTTTCGACGAGCAGCCTAACTCTCACAAAACAATAAGTATTCAAACCTAAACATAGTTTACAAAACAGAACAGTAGTAGAGAAATTGAGGTCATGTCATTCGATCAAAAGTTTTCATATAACTGTGGTGATAGAAATCAGCTGGTTTCTCGAAAATGAGAACTCTGAATAATGAACGACGAAATCCTCTGTGAAGTGATTAGTTGTGATGTTTTGTGTCAGTTTTATGAGAAGCTGTTCCAAATCGTTAGATCGAATCATGGATTGACCTTCGCTAGACCACCTATGATGACTGGAGAACACGGAAGAAGGGATTTGTTCCAATATGGGACCTGAAAACAATGAACAACAACTGTTCAACCACAAATTGTACTTGTGAACACTTCACCAGATAACGCAAGAACCGTTGTGCATACTGATAATTACTCGTCAGCAAAGTCTGTCTGGAGGTTTGAAGGAGGTGTTGCATTGCAGTGAGTTGGGGCTCATGTAAAATAGCTCCACAATCTGTGATATCAACACTGAGCTATTCTTCAACACCTGGACTCTTGTTTATACGCGAATTCCCTGTTCAATGAATAATGTGTATTGGCTAACTCACTCAATGTTCAATGCCGTTAAGTTGTTAACAAGATGTAAACATGATACTAGTCACTACTCACTGACCAATCACTTGTTGTGTCTACTTACCAGTCAATTGATAAAGCATTTCTTAATTCACGTGAATGTTTCGTCTCCATAATCCCCATTGTTTTTTTGTTGACATCACAGAAGATCAAGCAGTGACAGCTCAGTCTCTTCAGTCTACACATAAAGGTAAGTTATTCGAACAGTAATCTCATCCGATGAATTGCACTCACATCACGTGTTGTATGAAATATTGATCGAGTTTAGTTTATTTCGATGTATCTCGAGTGAATTATTCAGTACAATTTGAATTAATGTTCAGTCACTGCAGATATTCTGCACATACACTGGAACTACAGTGAAAATTGTTATGAGTGACCATTTTCATGGGTTCCATTTGTTGAAAATTGGAGTGACGATCCCAGTGTTGTTTAGTATGACGTATTGTTGATTCTTGATTTAGCTCATTCATTTAGAAGCTCTTTATTAGTTATCGTATATTGGATCACTGAGTTTGAATTCGTTTCCAATGTTAAATGTACGATTGACGAATCGTTTTGTCATCCATAATCAGCATGGTGTGGCTTGAAAAAATGGTGGATAAATATGTCAGTGTCCATAGATCTGCACATAAGCAATATAAATCACACAGTGAAAGTAATGGATTACTTTGGATAATTTGCCCGATCCTCCAAAACAGCTATGCTAATGTTTCCAATGACTGTCGTGTTTGAATGATGCCTGCGTCTAATTTATTTGAATTCTGATTTCTTTTAGATATCGTTGTAACTACACTCAAAGTTTCTACTATTGATTGGGATGAAATAATTGAAAAGACTGAAGTTGAACAATCCCTGAATCTTTTGGATAGATACTGTAAAAATGTAAGTCTAAGCGCTATCACTCGAGTTCTCAAACATGAAGACATGTGTAGGACAACATTATTCGAGTCATTTTACTTCAGTCGATCTTCATATATTGGCCACATCAATCTCCAGTTGAACCTACAAATCGATCTAGCAAACACATAGCAATCAATGTTGGATGATGTATTGTCATTCGATTTGTACATTGATGTGAAAATTTGTAAAATATGTAGGAATTAAACTTTATTACTGTAGGGTAAATGTTAAATATCAGTGTGATTCAGTGTTGGGTTATTGTAACTGTGGTCAAGCATTTTTATGAAAAATGTGATTAGACATAAATATGCAGATGTGAGTATTTATACGAACACTAATAAAATTTACGTTTTGAGTTAGAATGATCACCTTCACAAATACTTCAAAGAAACAACTTGACGGATAGTCTTTTCATGTGATTTTTTGAAGGTTTTGGATGTGGTGAGGGGATTGGAGCCAAAACTGAGTTCTGCTACTCTATCATGTGACATCAGTGAAACACAACGGCTAGGCGAAACCATCAATGTTGAACTTGCATTGTTATCCAATGAAATGGAAACCATATTTTCACCAAATCCGTGGTTTCCATCGTTGAAGCATACACTTGAATCCGGTATTGTGAATAAGGAAAGCACGTGGATAACTGGTGAGTGAATCACTAATGCACGTCAATTTTCTAGTTGATATACACACTTGATCAATATGTAAACTGTTCAGTTAAATTAACATAACTTGTGGTTTTCAGCACTAAGTAAATATACTGCACTCCATTTCAGATATCATTTCAGTGAGTGGTAAGTTCACGATAAATTCTGTAGTTTATGTGTATTGTAAAGTCTGTTGAAGTCGGTCATACTACGAAATATTGAACACACTGATCCGTCAATGTAGTGTACTAATTTCATAGATGATGGATGTGTAATGGTTTGTAAGCATGAGTGATAAAATGAGTGAAAGATTCAGCCTGTTGTCATCAACCACATAATAATATTTATTCTGAATTGTAGATCCGAAACCCCTTGACCGTGGTAAGTTGTCCTGTGTATGAGGCGGTTGTTTTGAAATTCGAATTTCCTGTTATCTCTTAATGATCCAAACTGATGTTTGAAGGTGACTGACAATATGAAATGTGTTGATTGCTTTGTTTGTCAATGATGTGAGAACTGAATGATGGGGACCAGTCGAGCGTAATGTCGATTATGCGACTGAAGTGATATTGTACAGTTTATTGCATGTGTCGAAGAACGTTCCACTCGTTTGGGACTTCCTAATTGATCTCCGCAATCTGCTCAATCATAGACTCCCCACATTGAGATGCTTGAAAAACATTCGAAACACAAACACTCTCGCATTAAATTCACACGGAAGAACCAAGTGATTGATCAGAAATATTATTCGAATGCTACGTTGTATGTCTCTCAGCTCTATTTCAGTGATTTCCTCACTAGACAAGTGCTCTAGTTCTTTGGCGAGTTGACTTCGATTCGTTCAGCTCAACAGTCTGCAGATTGATATTCTTGTTGAGACTTTGGTGATAAACTATGACAACGTTTCCTGCACTGGTTTCAACTCCTCGTCACGGCGGACGCCGTATTCGTTTGACCGACAATGAAACCAGCAGTGAATGTAAATTATGTCCAAACAATCTTATTGTTTGTGTTACAAATTCCACGGTCAACACAAATACTGATGTGTAGTTCGGCTTACAATATACACCGATTGGAGCGTTTTAATTAACAAACCGATTGGTGAAATATTTTATTAATAGTGAGTATTCGTTTCACAAACCACAATTAATGAATGTCGTATGTTTCAGAATCCTATCTGTTCATAAAGGACTATGGTAAGAATGTAGTAACTACTGATAAGTGCTCTGAAGTGAGTTAATTGCTGTTCATGCATTATGATGTTTTCTTGAATCTATTGCATTTTGCGTTGATCGATCAAGTACCAGTCGCATGTTGATTTAACGAGCCTAGAAATTTAAGTTGACTGCATGACCTTTTATATCTTCGCACCGTTAATTCCACAATTTCAACGAAAAGTTCGTTGATATTCACATTGATGACATTTGTTGATGTGTATTGTTTTCTTGATATTCTAAAGACCTAAACCTCAAACATCATTGTTATGTGGCTTTCGTGGAATTTGTTATCTACGATCATCAGGATTTATATAGAAAACGATTTCATAGGGAAATCATAGCAAACCCTTACAGGTTTCTTACATGACACATACACATGAGTATAGAATATTTAACTGTTAAGAAAGAACATTATGCCAGTAGATTACAGCATACGTATTAATCCCATAAAACACTGTCTCAATACTTTGATTTCAGCTGAAGGAGGTTATGTCGAGAAGATACCCCGGATTCGGTGAATTAGTGAAGAGCTGTTTTTTTGATGTGAAATCGGGAGATATAAAAACGGAGATGAATTACCTAGAACTTATGAAGAAAGGATATTGCTGTACAAATTATAATATATATAGAAGAATTCACTGGTCTATTATAGAACTACTGTTTGGGGAAGAACATGGTTAGTATTTATGCAAAATACGTGAAAATACAAAGTTATATTTGTTCCTGATTTTTTTTTATTGATTGATATATAGCATCAATCTCATTCTATTTGTTAATCACTGAATGAGCTGAGTGAGAAGCTTCTAAAAATCTTCTGGTGCTTTTAGCAATATCTCTATCCAAGATTACAACATTTCTTCGGTCGAATGTGTGTCTAAAGTTGTCCACATTTATTGATATAGTCTAGGATATGTTATGGCATCGGACAGATAATTGGTGTTTGTGCAGGTGAAGATGAAGATAGCATCCATTTTGTCCGATACTCGCAACTAAAAACATTTAATTTGTAGACGACTTTCAGTTTCTCTTCATTCATAATTTCGCTCTTCGGTTTGTATAGGGTTGATTGAAGTGGTTTAACAGGTTTGTGTGCTAAACCTATTCCAAACAGCTTCAATAATCTCGTTGTAATTTACGATATGTTTTTCACATATGGTAGGATGATCCGTTCGATGATTTATGTACCTAATTTTGTTTCCATTGACACGTCTCATTGATATTTTTCGATGCAGTCGACCGAGCAGCCATCCCTTCGAAAAAATATTCTTCAGATATTTCCCTTGATCTTTCGATCCACAAGTGTGTTGCATTGCATCTCCTTACTCCTGAATAAAGTTTGAACGCATCTGATTTTGTGAGTTCATGTGCTGTTTCTACTTTAATTGAGAATTTAATCTGTCTCAGTTGGCTTCCAACTTAATCGGGTTTCAAATTTTACTGTGTCCGTCCTAGTGATCAGTACATTGAAGAATAATCATTTGTAGTTTGACGCCCCTCCCACTGTGAATTGTATGTCATCAAACATGTTGTTGAACAGATTATGTGTTTTCCAGCTTGTCCTTTTCGACGATGACGAGTATATCAATCACATAAGGACTCTAAAGTCGCAACAGATGAAACAAAGAAGATGAAAGCAAGCACATTATTGCACTAAGATATTAGTAATGAAGAATATAAACAGATCAGTTGTTGACTTTTCATATATCATTTTCAACTATCTCACTGTCCCATAAAACTCACTGTGTCGGTTTGCTTCGCAATGTATAATTCGCAATGTATTTTTCGCATTTAGGTGGGGATAAGACCGGACCGAACGGAATATCTCAACCTGATAAAACGACTGACAAGAAAGAAAATCTTCTTGGTATGTTTCGTTAATTGATAGTTTATCTCTCTTTCTCTCTGATTTGTAAATATACGATCTTATGACATTTGATTTTTCAACATTATGCGATCGATGGATGATATTTCAGATATCACTTTCAACTATTTCACTGTCCCATAAAACTCACTGTGTCGGTTTGCTTCGCAATGTATAATTCGCATTTAGGTGGGGATAAGAACGAACCGAGCGGAATATCTCAGCCTGATAAAACGACTGACAAGAAAGAAAATCTTCTTGGTATGTTTCGTTAATTGATAGTTTATCTCTCTTTCTCTCTGATTTGTAAATATACGATCTTATGACATTTGATTTTTCAACATTATGCGATCGATGGATGATATTTCAGATATCACTTTCAACTATTTCACTGTCCCATAAAACTCACTGTGTCGGTTTGCTTCGCAATGTATAATTCGCATTTAGGTGGGGATAAGACCGGACTGAACGGAATATCTCAACCTGATAAAACGACTGACAAGAAGGAAAATCTTCTTGGTATGTTTCGTTAATTGATAGTTTATCTCTCTTTCTCTCTGATTTGTAAATATACGATCTTATGACATTTGATTTTTCAACATTATGCGATCGATGGATGATATTTCAGATATCACTTTCAACTATTTCACTGTCCCATAAAACTCACTGTGTCGGTTTGCTTCGCAATGTATAATTCGCATTTAGGTGGGGATAAGAACGAACCGAGCGGAATATCTCAACCTGATAAAACGACTGACAAGAAGGAAAATCTTCTTGGTATGTTTCGTTAATTGATAGTTTATCTCTCTTTCTCTCTGATTTGTAAATATACGATCTTATGACATTTGATTTTTCAACATTATGCGATCGATGGATGATATTTCAGATATCACTTTCAACTATTTCACTGTCCCATAAAACTCACTGTGTCGGTTTGCTTCGCAATGTATAATTCGCATTTAGGTGGGGATAAGACCGGACCGAGCGGAATATCTCAACCTGATAAAACGACTGACAAGAAGGAAAATCTTCTTGGTATGTTTCGTTAATTGATAGTTTATCTCTCTTTCTCTCTGATTTGTAAATATACGATCTTATGACATTTGATTTTTCAACATTATGCGATCGATGGATGATATTTCAGATATCACTTTCAACTATTTCACTGTCCCATAAAACTCACTGTGTCGGTTTGCTTCGCAATGTATTCTTCGCATTTAGGTGGGGATAAGAACGAACCGAGCGGAATATCTCAACCTGATAAAACGACTGACAAGAAGGAAAATCTTCTTGGTATGTTTCGTTAATTGATAGTTTATCTCTCTTTCTCTCTGATTTGTAAATATACGATCTTATGACATTTGATTTTTCAACATTATGCGATCGATGGATGATATTTCAGATATCACTTTCAACTATTTCACTGTCCCATAAAACTCACTGTGTCGGTTTGCTTCGCAATGTATAATTCGCATTTAGGTGGGGATAAGAACGAACCGAACGGAATATCTCAACCTGATAAAACGACTGACAAGAAGGAAAATCTTGGTATGTTTCGTTAATTGATAGTTTATCTCTCTTTCTCTCTGATTTGTAAATATACGATCTTATGACATTTGATTTTTCAACATTATGCGATCGATGGATGATATTTCAGATATCACTTTCAACTATTTCACTGTCCCATAAAACTCACTGTGTCGGTTTGCTTCGCAATGTATAATTCGCATTTAGGTGGGGATAAGACCGGACTGAACGGAATATCTCAACCTGATAAAATGACTGACAAGAAAGAAAATCTTCTTGGTATGTTTCGTTAATTGATAGTTTCTCTCTCACTCTCGTTTGCAAATTAGATTTCTTGAGACATGTCAGTTTTGGTGGTCATATATACGTGACCATTGTTTCCAACTATATTTTTCCATAACTTTGTGTCTTTTCCTTGATTCATCAGCATATCTCATGTGCTTGTTCGCATCACGTGTTTTTTATGTTCTGTCTATTCATCCTATGGCATTTTTTCACATCATTTAGTCTCGATTTTAACCTGTTCTATTTCCTTTTCTTATATACCTTTAGTTTTCAACTAATTGTTGTATTCCGCCTATTCTCTATTTCATACGGACACCATTATTTACAAAGTCTTTCTGTCTTCATTTGTATGAATTTGGTTATCTAAAATCTCCTTCATCCATTTCCTCTACAAACTCATCATTGATAGTTCTGTGTTTTATCTTTTACTGATTTAAAATTATTTCCCGCTTTTCAATTTGTCACTGACTTTCTAATATCTGTGTGCGAACTCATCATCACTCTCTTTCATCACATTGTGTTGTCCAGTATATTTGTCCTGTTTTTTGTTCTCTGTTTATTGACGAGTTTCATGACATGGAAAAGTTACTTTACATTGTGATGTGAAATTACGTCTTATTGAATTTTTTCATCGAAATTATTTTCAAGGTTTACCCTCAATAATACGAATCTCCGAACTGGAAAATTTGAAATTGAACTATGCAGGTAACATTCAAAATTGATTATACTGAAACAACTCCTTTTCATTTTAACACGAAAATATTCGAGTGCATTTTTCTACTTATGACTTGACAGCTATATGCATTGTGGTTAAGACTAGGTAGAGGCATTGCACACATGTCGCATATATGCAAACAAAACCGAAGTAATTTCGGCAAAACTATCAACAACGGAATAATCAAAGTCATTTAAATTGAATAAATTGGGCGAATGTGGTCACTGGAAATTCGCTCTAGGTGTGTAGTTTCTCCGTAGTCTAATGATTCATTAGTGACTTAAATTCTGTCCCTTCAGCCAGCACACTCCTAAAAAGTGTTAGGCAATGAGCTTTTTCTAAATCATGGTTGACGTTTCATTTTGTGGACACGCAATCCCTTAAAATTTTTTTAGTACATATTCTTAACTATTAGCTATCTAACTTTGTTGAGGTGTCATTCATTAAGCTGGATAACTTGGTTGTGCAGCTGTCATTATGCTTCTGAATGATATCGTTTGCTCAAAACCGAGGTATTGGAGAACCTGCCATTGTCTGTCTCCTTATTCCCACTGTATGTCACTTCGACTTAATTCTTACTTCTATATTTGCAGATGAATGATTTGATTGATTGAAAGACTATGATGATTTCGATGTGTTTGGTAATTGCTGATTTAGTTAGGTGTCAAGCTATGAGAATGTTCTGTGGTGCACGTGGTATCCTTTCCAATAATCGTAATTCATATCCACTCCTCGCTGATAAATACTTCGTAATTGTTTATCAAATTATAGGTCACTGTATTTATGCTTCGTTTCCATCTGGTAAGTCGTGAAATGTGTCGCTCACTGCATAATCGTTATTGTCCAATTCAAATGTTGTATATTGATCACGTGTGAGTGGTGATATCAACTGCAGTCCTCTATCATCATGTCACATCATTCAGTACAACTTACATTATTGCAGATTCCACAAATACTATTCCTCATCATTGTTTACCTAGATAGCGTAAATGTTAAGAATAACTCTCAGTATATGTTGAAAATAGCTTTTCAGATTTGACCGTGGATACAAGTGAATGATTATTGGATATCGTAATGTCCCTAACATCATTTGATACTAGTAGCTATTGGGGGATTCACCCGGGTCGAAACGTCAGTCTCTGTGAAAGCAATGTGTGTGAGAAAACAATCGACACTCAGAACACAACCTATTGGATTTGTGTCAAAGCGAAATAACATGAACATAGAGCTCAGTAGAAATACCTTATCCATTTGATAACATCTACAGCGTGGAACCAGCACACCAACCATGAATACACTTTAGCATAACCAGTAACAATATGAGAAACCTTGGAATCGGAATCACATTCACTCTAAAGTCGAGATATACACACTCTCTTTATTCATAACGACGAGACCACATGGAGTCGGTTTACAATATGCAGAGAGAATCAACTGTTTAAGACGCTAATTGATTAACCTTTCAAATAAAATCTGTTAAAAATCTTCAGTATTAGTGATTTGTTCTCAGTAAACCATCCGCTCACTGAGGCTATTCGCTTAATCACTAAGAACAGACTGACAGGTTGACATGTCCATTTAAATCTCGTCTCAATAACTCACTTTCACAACAAGTTCGGTCAAATGAAGTAAACAATATTCAGACTGTAAACGAACGTCATATACACAGACGTCTGATATCACTGTTGTCCGAATATGTGACGACCGTTACCATGTCTAACGCTGTTACGTTTCTTAAAATAACGACCTATGTCTAGGAAACGTGTATCGATTTGTTGATTGGCAAAATCAGAGTCTCAACAATCGATAGATTGATGCAAATGTTTGTCGGTTGAGGTAGCCTTATCAAACAACAATACAGGAATAGAAAGCATGCATGTTAGCGAAATTGTTACGGTTGCAGTTTCATCCCATGATTTCCATTGATCACTTGATTTACAAATTAACAGGTCGGTCAGATGACGAGTGACAAGTGAGTAGTGTATCGTTGTGTTATCGTTAGATCTTGATAAATATCTGTGTTTGTAAACTTGTTAGTGTTTTCAAGTTTCATTGAAAGGTCATTGTAGATAGATAGTTGATTTAACCATGACCATGTAGCATGGTAGTCAACGTCCACAAATTGCTTTGAATTTCTACTCACAGATTGTGTATTAACGTTGATTTGTCGATGTTGTTTGGATGAATATGGATTGATCAAGATGTTTTGTAAGCATTTGGGAAAATCTGTTCAATCTGTATTTCATCGACATTCAGTTGTCGACATCAACGATACCCGTGCAAATCAATAATTGTTCCAGAATAGCTGTATATATCTTCCCACATAATGTGCACAATTATTCAGATGATCATAGTGAGGCAGAATATTTGTTGTAGTTTTGCTCAGTTTGTGATATGACACGATTGTTGTCCATCGATCAAACAGAAATGACGAATCAAAGTTGAACTAATCGTCATCACATCACTCGATTAGGAAACTTAATTACTTTGGTACAATTTACACCATCCTATTTGTTATATATTATTACACGTTGTATGCTCAATTATTATTCTAATTCAAAAGCATTTTATTGTTCAGAGCTATGATAATGAATGTTTTCATCAGAATTATTTCGTGTCTGAAATACCACTACTACTACTACTACCACCAAGAATGATCAAAACTTTCACATACTTTTCTTTTAGATGACCAGCTTTCTAACCTCATGAACATCACCACTATCATCGGATACACTGAAACATTTTGATCCAATTTAGTAAAGTAATATACGCAATGGATTGAATAATTTTTAACATCCACAAAGTAAATAAATAAACATTTTTCAAACAAATCTCTATGTAATATCAAATTAAATAAACACCGTCTTATTATGTAGCAGACTTAACAATATTCTTCAATCATATTCTGTAATTTTCATACACAATACATGGAATACAGTAATCAGAGTGTTGACTCTTTTTATTTACATCACTTTCAAGAAGGAAACGGTGAATAGTTGTTTGTATTGAATGATAGAAGTAATTACTATAACACTTCAGTGAGGGTATGTACACAGACAAAGTCAAATTGGCTTTCAGGATGACTTGTTTATGGAGAACATTTATTTTAAAGATATTTCACATGCGATGACCGAGTTTCGTAAGCTTGTTCACTGAAAATCGTTGAGTTGGATGTATTGAGTGATGGTTCACTTGTGCAACACACAATGAGGGATGTTAGTCAGATTGGCCAATGGTACATCATCCATAGAACAACTCGAGTTCATTATACGCTATTAGGTCGAAAATGATTGGAAATGAATTCAGTTACAGGAGATTACTCAGTAGTATGCTGTGCTATATTAAATGGAATCCGACAAGAAGGAAATGACATTAGGGAATACTGGAAGCACTTGTAGATGGCGTCGAGTCGCGTTTGACTATGATCACCACATCAATGAGATTACGCGCCCGAAAACGACTTGGTCCCTTTGATAACTCGCAAGGTGTGTGGTGAATCTTTTGAAGTCATTGTTAATATGCTTGTGTATAGACATCTTAAGTCTTGCAAACTCTTGGCAGGTGTTATCTTATCAGATACTAACCATCCGCTTCATTCATATCTTTCTCCTTGTATATCTTCTGGTAGAACGAGACGTAAATACATTAAAATCCATACACGCAAGCAAGTCTATAAAAGTTCTGTAATACCTTACCTAGCAAATTTACTTTGTGACGAACAGGCTGTTAGAGTTGACCTAGTAAATAACCTGTACTCTTAAGCATGTCTCAAATTCGATAATTTGTATAAGCTGAGTTTTCTCTTAAAACTTTTTTATTCGTTTTCTGTTTTTTTTTTGGTTTTTGTTTTTTTCGTAAAAAAAATTTGTTGAAATAACTCATGCTGAGAATTCTATATTGTACCAGATTATAATATTGAATAAAGCCATTAATAATAATAATAGTAAGTGTACTCGGCGACCGGAATGCGAGACGGTAGTCTCGTTCGAACCTCGTGAGCCTGCAATCTCCTCCGCAGTCAAGGGCGGCGTGGTCTGCTGGTCTGGACGTGAGACGGAAGTATCGTCCGTAAATGGGGCAGATGACACGTGCTGTTGGGTCGAGAATGATTGGAAATGAAGTAAGTTATTGGAGTTACTAGGTAGTATGCTGTGTTATATGAAATGGAATTTGACAAGAAGGAAACGACATTATTAAATACCGGATTAACTAACATAGACCCCACAGGAAAGTACATTTTCTCACTTGAGTCTACGAGATTTTATTTCTATACAAGGTTAATTTATCAAACAGAAGAAATCTGTTTTCACAAACATTCACTTCACATGTCTGAATAGACTTAGAAATACGACCTTTCACATGAAAAAGACTGCAGATGAATATCAACCACACTAACTATGTCAACTTGCCATTGATGATGTTTCGCATAAAGTCTGTTCAAAAATTAAGCACACTTATAACTCCACCTGGAGCCCCTCTGAAGCTAACCAGGAAAGATCGCTAACCACTTATAAGCATTTCAAATCATCAAGAGATTTGGATTTCTAAATAAACTATAAACTATAAAATACCACAAATGTAGATGAACATACTCTTCAAGTTTACATTGCTTTCACCCAAGATAAAACATCCTACGAAATATTCACGATTTGATTCTGTTGTAGTTTACACAAAATCATTTTATAATCTCTTCGTTACAGTTTCATATTCACTGATGTTGATCCATTAAAATCGAACTTGTTCGTTTGTATTACGATGTGGTTAGCCATTTCTAGTAACACTCTATCAAATTTCTTATCATTTGACTTCATCTATTGTCGCTCTTGTTGGAACTTTACGCATGATAGTTGTTCCATCAATATACTGTGCCAAGTGTAATCATAGATCCGTTGTTTACTTGGTGGGTTTCTACTCTCAAGATTCTCACGTCACAACAACTCAATCGTTATAAGATATCACCAGAGATCTTGACCTTACCGAAACGTCGACGAATGATCGTTACATTTATGATTCGGAAGTTCTCTTCAACGATGATATGGAGCTTGAAATAAACTTGATTGACCAACACTCGTGTGTAATTTTATGGATGTGAATTACCTTCAAATAGAAATTCAGTAGTAATTGGCAGTTATGAAAGTCGAAATTTTGTTTGCATCGTATATATATTGTCATTGTTAGTCTCATGTTGATATCACTGACAAGCATGGAATTTTCCTATTACTGAAATCCGTTCGTTGAACATCCATTAGTTCGTGTTAGTACATCGAGATTGTCCTGTGATAGAGTGTCCGTGAAAACGTATGGCAAACGTAATAATTTGGCAGATATTCTATTGTAATACCCTGGTAATGCATTCAATTTCAACTACTTGGATAAATAAATTGGTTTTCATTGCAAATGTTCGAAGAGATTGCACTTCAGTGGGTCAGGTAATTAAAGAGTTCGTGCATATAATGATTTAATCAACCACAACGTGACTTAAACAAGACATCCAAAATGCCATATTGTTACGAAAGTTCTTCAAAATGTTATCCAGTTATAAGATATAATTAGAATTGAATTTCGGAATTTATGGTTTACAGATGCCTAACAGAGATTTCATTCAGATGGGTGTGTATGTTTGGACGCATCACTAGTTGATTTCAGATTGTCATTCCTACCTAGTTACTTATCCCTCATGGAAGAGCATAGGTCGCACAACAGGATTCTCCATCGAACTCCGTCCTTAACAATCCTTTCCAGTTCATTTCAGCTGCTATTCGTTCTTCTAATATCTGTTTCATTTGTGGCTGCATAATACTAGATAACATTCATTGTAATATCCTCCTTCTTTGTTTCAAATAATAACTAGATGATTCTGTTTTCATGTGATTTCCATGTTAGGAGATATTTTCGTGCTTTTTTGAACAGTATCAGAGCAACTCCCTGAGTGTGCTGAACATCTTCTTCTTCATGATTGAAGTACAACGGCATCCTGTTTTCCGATCAAAGTCACGCTTTTATTAAATATCAAGTATGATGAGCAGCTAAAATATTTCTGTAGAGAATTAACAAACACATTATGATTATTATAATTCTTAATATTCTTCTTCTCCAGTGCTAAATAAAGTAAACTCTAAAAATAGTATACAGATGAATATGAAAGAAAGCTGACAATATCAATAATATTTTTGATTGAGATTATGAAACGATTGATGTTAGACCACCATTAGATACCTGGAAACACCGGACGGCCGATTCATCCTATCATGTGACTCCTCAGCAGTGCGTATCCACGATCCCACTCACGGGATCTCAATCAAACACATTCTAATCTCCACAACCCCATAGTTTATTAATTAGTTTGCATAAAGTGGATAATGTTGAAACTGTGCATGTTGAATACTCTGGATACAAGTTTATATCGAAACAATTTTGCAAGTTATACCGTATATTTTCAGAATGTTCAACATATAGTTATCAGGGAATATTGTTTCTTGAAATCAATCACACCTAATCTAATACCTGATTAATTTTTGATGGCATTTATATGTGATTCGTTTGGACAACCTATGTTGGAGCAGAACATTTACATATTCTACATCGACGTATTCATTCAGTGTATATATTTACATCTATTTTTGGTAGTTACAATCACATACTAAATCGTCTTCTCAAACTATATTCTAAAGTATGTCATATCTCTGACTGTTGTCAGATGAAGAAACGTTCGATAATTTACAAGATGGATTTCTTGAAGCTTTAAATGCCTCATCAAGTTGCTAGTTCTCATTTTACATCCATAACTGTCAATGATTATGGCGCTGACTTTTCAGACTTTATTTCAGTATGCTTATGATTTGCCTTTATGTGTATTTCTTTCAGAGTTTCAGTCTCCGATGATAAAACGTAGCTAAAATTAGGCTTGTATGATAGACACTTTGACATGTATCATCTTTTTCTAACTTGTTACTATGCTTATCATTCAGA